CAAAAGGCCCCATTTGTGTGATTCCATTTATAGAAAATATCCACAATAGGTAAGTCTGCAGACTGGTGGTTGCCAGGGGCTTTAGGGCTGGGAGGTAGGAAGGAACAGGGAGAAGCTGCTTAACATGTGAGGGGTTGGCTTTGGAATGAAGCGTCATGGATCAGAAGAAGGTGCCTGCAATGTCTAAAACCAGCAGGGATTATTCCTACCTAGACTATAAGGATCTTCGCTAACTAACAAGAGAAAGATAGGAAGGAAAAACAGATCAAGGATATGAAAAAGAAATTCACGGACAACAGGAAAATAACCAATAAATATTAAAAAATATGCTCAAACTCCCTTGAAAACTAAAGCCAAGTCACATTTCTCAAGTGTCATATTGGCACAAATTAGGTGTCTGACTTGATCATTTTTTTAAGTTTATTTATGTATTTAAGTAATCTCTATGCCCAACGTTGGGCTCAAACTCATGACCCCAGGATTAAGAGTCACACACTCCTCTGACTGAGCCAGCCAGGCGCCCCAGATGCCTGGTGATTTCTAGTGTTGGGAAGATGTGGGGAAACAGGTACCTCCTGGTGCGTTGGAGGAGTGGAAAAGGAGAGCAATTGGGCAGAACTGGAGGTAAAACCATACAACTGAATGTCTCAAATCAGTTACAAAGAACAAATTGTTCAAATGTATTGACATGAAGAAATGTAAAGTGAATAAAACTAAATAATGCATGGAGGATTCATCTCACTGGGGGCCAGGGGAGAGGACACATAAATAAGATGTTCATAGATGCACAGGAAAAGGTCTGGAAGGATGCACCCCCAGAAGGGACTGTCACTTTTTACCACAAAATGTGTATTTGCAATGTTTGCAGAGGACAGAAAAAACTTCTAAGACAATTTTTTAAAGAGTAAACATTGAAATGCAAAACCCATTTTATTTTTAAGATTTTATTTATTTATTCACTTACTTAGTGCAACTGGGGGGAGGGGCAGAGGGAGAGAGAGAATCTCAAGCAGACTCTCTAGCAAGAGCAGAGCCCACTGTAGGGCTGGATCTCAGGACCCTGAGCTCATGACCTGAGCCAAAATCAAGAGTTGGATGCTTACCTGACTGGGCCACCCAGGCGCCCCTGCAAAACCATTTTAAGAAGTGGAACGTACACACTAGATGAGCCTTTCTGCAACTATAGAGCTGACAAGCGATCAGCATCTGAACTATAACCCATGAGACCATTACGAATCATCAAGGGAAGGAGCAAAGGGTGTGAATGGCCATTTACAGCAGAAACCACAATGGCCAATAAACATGTGAGAAAGATGTGCAATAACAACCAAGGAAATGCAAGTTAAAATCACAGTCAGGTTGAAGAAAAAGTGTAAAGCCGTTGGTACCGAGGGATGGATGCCCTCCTGCCCCATTGGAAGGCTGCGTGCTGATCCAACTGCTGTGGAAGGCAATTTGGCCATATCTGGTAAAGCTGAAGAAACAAAGAGCCCAAAGCCCGGCAAAGACCCAAAGACCGCTTCCACTTACATACGCAAAAGTTGTCACCTGTGAACAAGGAGACACATTCCAGAATGCTCTCTGCACCATGGTTTGTGTCAATGAAAAACTGGAAACGTCCTAAGTATATTTATACAATGTGACATCATGCATCGATCAAAATAAATGAACTAGAGTTAATGTATCAAAGTGGAAAAAAGAATCTTTTTTCCTGAAGATAGAAGTTTTTTATTTTTGTTTTTTTCTTTTTTTATTTAAATTCAGTTAGCCAACACATAGTACATCATTAGTTTTTGGTGTAGCGTTCAATGATTCATGAATTGTATATAACACCCAGTGCTCATCATATCAAAAAAGAATCCCTTAAACAATATTTGGTTTTTTACAAAAAAGTGACTTAGGGACCATGAAGTAAATCCCAATATGTTTCAAAGAATTTATTTTTTTTTTAAGATTTTATTTATTTATTTGACAGAGAGAGACACAGCGAGAGAGGGAACACAAGCAGGGGGAGTGGGAGAGGGAGAAGCAGGCTTCCTGCAGAGCAGGGAGCCCGATGCGGGGCTCGATCCCAGGACCCCGGGATCATGTCCTGAGCTGAAGGCAGACGTTCAACGACTGAGCCACCCAGGCGCCCCTCAAAGAATTTAAATAATCAGGAAATGTTCTGAGACCACAATGCAATTAAGGTAAAAATCAATACCAATGGGTATGGAGTTTTCTTCTGGGGTGAGGAAATGTTCTGGAACAAGATAGTGCAGCTGGTTACATACACTGTACGTGTGCTAAATGCCACTGAACTGTATATTTTTAAAGAAAAATGGTAAATTCTCCATTATGTGTATTTTACCACAATTTAAAAAAAATCAGTAACAAAAAATACCAAGGAAAGTCCCATGTTAATAATACTCCTCTCAATAACTGATAAGTCAAAGGATAAGGCCCAATGGAACTGAGGATACCAAAAGAAGGAAAATACAATATATCGAGTTTTCTGAAGTGAAGCTAAAGCCGTGCGTAGAGAGAAATGTATAACTTTAAATTCATTTATTAGAAAAAAAAGACTGAAAAATCCATGAACATTCAGCCCAGGAAGCTGGAAAAAGCACTGCATATGGAATCCAAAAATAGATGGAAACAAAGCATCAAACAAGATAAAATTTAAAACCACAATACCCAAAGTCAGTAAAGCCAAAAGTTGTTTCCCTAGAAAGACTGCAAAAACGGAGAAACCTCAGATTAATTCGGAAAAGGGTAACATAACTAACAACGGAAGTCGGCAATAAAACGGGGACGTCACCACATGCTCACGGCCACAGACCCGGACCACGAAGCCAGCCAGTCCTGGAGAAACCGCCAGGTGAATCCAGACTGAGGCGCAGCCCGGGACGTAACCGCTCGGACACTTCAAATATGCCAACGTCGGGACAAACATGCAGTCTGAGAAACCGGTCCTGGCGTGAAGGGGACAAGAGACCTCTCGATGCAACAAGGGACCCCGGATCTTGGGGGGGGGAGGGACAACAACTGAGAAAGCCCTCGTGCCAACTGACAGTTGTGCAGGAGGCGGCAGCCGGGCACCGCGGGGTAGGAGGCCTGGTGTGGTGAAAGCGAACGTCCTCGTCCTTGGGAAACACACACGGGACACTGGGCGCGGAGGGACGTGGTGTCTGAGACCGACGCCAGCAGTTCAGCCGCGGACGGACCCCGCGGCGGAGGGCAGCCTTCAGTCCCAAGCTGGAGGGGCTTCCACTACCCGAAGCCGCTCCCTGTCAAAGCCAAGGCTGGACCCTGGCTCGGCGCCCCCCCCGCCCCCCGACGCTGTGCGGCTCCTCCCGCTGCCCCTCGGCGCCCGCCGGGCCCGACACTTCGGAGAAGCAGATCCCCAGCTGCGACTCGGGAAACAGGCCTGTTCCTTGGCGCCCAGCCCTCCCCTCAGCAGGAGCAGGGCTCGCCGCTCCAGCCCGCGCGCCTCCCGGGCCCTTCGTCAGGCACGTGCGTTTCAGCAGCTGGGGCGCGTGGGCCTGAAGCCAGAGCAGGAGAGCTGGCTTTCCAGCTCCGCTACCCCGGCCGGGGGGGAGGGTAAGGCTCGGTGTGGATCCCCTGCGTTCCCCTTGAGCCTCCACATCACCTGCCCGCCCCCCCCACACACACACCAGCTAGACTAATGGCCCAGACAACACGACCCACCTGCCTGCTCCCTCACCCCTCAGCTGGGCCAGGGAGCCAGTGCTACCAGGCTGAAGGGGTCACAGAGCCACCCGAACACCCCCTCCTGGCTGTTCGCGGGGTCAGTGACTCAGGGAGGGACTGACCTTCATCTGCCTCCCAGGTGGGGGAGGTCAAACTTGGCCCCTCCTGGGGAGAAGCCCCGAATCCCACCCCGCACCTTCGGCTTGCACCTGAGCCCAGGGCGGCGACAGCGGCAGGTCCCCGCGGAGGGTGTGAGCCAGAAGCCAAGCCCCTCGGGGCGCTCACCTGTTGCAGGAGGGGGCGCAGATCACCCGGAGGTCCGCGGGCCGGCCTGAGCCGGAGAGCGCGCGGGGAAGCGGCGAGCAGCCGCGAGTGCGGCTTGTTGG